CTTTTTTTCTTTTATCAGTCGAAAAATAATTTCTAGTGGCTTAAAAAAGTAACGGGTTAATAATCAAAATAAGTAATAGTAAAAAAAAATAATTAAAAAAAAAATAATAAAAACTGAAATTCCTACTGAGGTCATGCTACATAAAACATGACAGTGTATTTATTGTGTTGTCAGTTGAACATACCTTGAATGAGGTTATGTAAATTCACCTCCAATCATCAAGTCTGAATCGGACTGATTCTTCTTATAAATGACAACAGTGTTTTAAAGTTGAACACATTTCAATCTACTCAGTGGTGTTTTATCTGGAATGGTTCACATGTGGTTGGGATTACCACTGCTGGAAATAATTACGAAGTCTTAATGCAACCTGGAGATTAGACACAATTCTGTGTGGCAAACCAGATATTCACTTACTTAGATGGACATCAAGACTCAGCCAAAAATTTAAGCAGTTGGATATAATCAGAAAATGGCTTTGTTTGGGAGACCAAAAATATGCCATTAAAATTCTTTCTTAATTGCCATGTAAAAGATGTGTGTATGATGTGTTAAAGAGCTGAAAAACAGAATGTTCAAGCCAGAACTGGGCCGCAGTGTAAAAACAGATCTATGACAATGACCATGCTTCAGCTGTGGTTTTCACATACAATTTTGTTCTCAACCACAATGTGCCATCCCTCGTTTCGAGAGGCTAAATGGAAGAACAGAAAAGCGAGCAGTGACACCGATTAGTCAAAAACCAGAGCGGGAAGCAGAGGACATGAGAAGACTAGTTGTTCTCCAACAGCATTGATGCGTGTGGATTTGGGAATTCAGCTGGAAGGTTTGAAATCTTGCCATCCCATTGCTCTAGCAGAAAAAAAAAACATGTAATCCACATTCCAGGCTATCTATTGGATAACATGTTTGTCAGTGCACCAAACACAAAGGCTCATCTGTCTCCTATGTGTACACAGTTTCATGGCCAGAAATATCCTATACACAGCAATAATTTTATTAGGTTATAGGTTTTATGAAGTCTTGGATCAGATGGACATCTTACATTAGTCTGCATTTTTTTAAAATTATGGATTAAAAATAAAATAAAAAAAATTACATTAAATTAAATTACATTAAATTAAATTATTATAAAATGAAATAGGAAACAGTTAAAAGAAAAACAGATGCGTGCCTGTATATTAAATGTGTGCAGCTCTTAAAGCGATAGTAAACATGCTGCTGCTTGTCATTAAAGGGATAGTTCACCCAAAAATGAAAATTCTGTCATTATTTACTCACTCTCATGTTGTCCCAAACTTGTATTCATTTCTTTCTAGTGCTGAATGCAAAAGAAGATACTTTGGGTAACCAAACAGTTGCTGGTCCCTATTAACTTTGAAAGAAGGAAAAAAAAAATACTATGTGAGGCTGATACATGGGGCAACTTTTTGAGCAATGTTGCTGGGCAACTTTAGTTAATGTTGCCGTCAACGGGCAACCAGGTGAGACAGAGGGCCCACGACTGATCTAAAGTATCCAGATTGAAATGTGTTACCCATTCTCGATGGTAAAGTGCCCAAGCAACATTGCTCAAAAAAAGTTGCCCGGCAAAATTGCTCAAAAAGTTGCCCCATGTATCATCAGACTAAGTCACTGGGGACCAGCAACTGTTTGGTTACCCACATTCTTCAAAATAACTTTTACATTCAACAGAAGAAAGAAACTCATTCAGGTTTAAAACAACTTTGCAGTTTGGACTTGAATGAAGAGAGAGAACCTGCACTTAAAGGGATAGTTCACGTTCCCACTGACTTGCATAGTGTTTTTTTTCTCCATACTATGGAAGTCAATGGGGACCAGCAACTGAAGGTGAACTATCACTTTAATCTTTTCACAGGCATTTTGTTTTCCTAGTTAGACAGATATCGTGATGTATCATTATAGGATTGTCTAGCAATATATCGATTATAGCAGAATTGCTGTATTGTGATATTATCGGTACCGTGAGCCATGTATCGTGTATCGTATCTTGTCGTATTGTGAGGTACCTTGTGATTCCCACCCCTACATGTTAGTGTAAGAGATTCATCAATGCCAGGCATGAAAGGCAAAAAGCTTGAAGCAACAGAGAGCCACCGCCTTCCAGCCAGCCTGTGCCGACAATAGACCGGATAAAGAGTACACTGGTTCCTGCAAGAACTGACTAGAGCCCCTGTTCAGAACACAAACCCAACAAAAGGCTACTCTAAAATGGGCCAATGCACCCTTCCAGACGTGCTCTGAGCTACTAGCATGAATAGAAACGGTTAAAACGGCACACACTCCAAGAGCTGCGGACTGTGTTCTATCTCGCTGAGCTGCCAATCAGCTCTGGGCTTTCATCTCATCAGACACACACACATACGCAGCAGCACAATGCATGCAGGAATGAGAGGAATGTTTCTGGAATGGTACAGGAATGAGCTGGTGTCTTTCTTCTGCAAGGTTTCTTTAGAGTCATCAGAAGAAATAGCCGTCATAATTCAGCAGCACTGTTCATTTTGAACAACTTAATTTTATGAGTTCCTGCTACCAATTATATACCAGAAACACATGGACTGAGCATGCTAAAAATATAAAAAGCATATTAGTGGACATTTTCTGTGTTCTTACCACTTCTTGGGCATGAGGACTTCCTAAGATTACTTTTTTTAACTGACTGCCAAAGCTAAGCCAATTGGAGTTTTGGTAATATTTTAATAATACATTTGAGTAATAATACTAACAAACATTAATAATGATGACTGTTAAGTCAAGCATCACTATTACTATTGCTCACACTTGAACAAACCCTTTACGCTAAAGATGTGTTCACAAAAAACACATGTGGTTCATTGTTAACAGTGTAGCGATGAAGAGCCTATAATGAGGGAGATCAGATGTAGGAACTTCTTACCCTGGCTTTACTGTCCTGGGCAGACATGTATCCCACACACATGCTCTCTGTTGTATGGCTCCATAGAAACTCCACTGTGAATAAAAGAGAGACACAATGACTGTGAAATACAGCTATTAAAAAAGTCCTTAGAATATTACACTTTCTATAAACCTGGAAGAGAATTAGAACACCGATAGGAATTTCAAATAGATTTTTTTAAATAGCTTTTTTTTAAATTAATTAATGAAATACTATATTTGTATAATTTATAGAAAGTGAGAGAAAGTGAGTGACGTGACGGCCAAGTATGGCCAACCATACTCGGAATTTGTGCTCTGCATTTGCTATAAACTCAGCAATACAATTAGTTACTTGTTATACACTCAACAAGAATCCACAATGCTTATTTTACTTTATTTAAACCACTATTCTAAAAATCTATTCGAAATTCCAAAGGGAACCCATGGCGAAATAGCCTTCTGAGTTGGCCTGCAAATTGAAGTCAAGATTGAACAGTTGATCAACACATCAGACAAAGACTGATATTGAAAAGCACATTTCATATCGGTCTCAAATGTTTTCTTCCATTGAGTGTCGGCCATAATCATAACAATGCCTTTATTCTCTGAGGCCAGACCACACTTTCAGACCTGTTTATTCTGTTATTTGTGAATGCAGGGAGCTGCCATGTTTATCCCTGAATGTTTAAACAAAGACGCCTGGAAAAATAGTCAGAATCTTTAGACAAGAATGTGAGGGAGGCATCAGAAAGAAACAATGTGGGGGGAACAACAACATTATAAATGGCTTTCAGGGAATCTTCAGTGATGTTCAGATGTTCCTCAAATCCTCCAATTGCATTTTTGTCCTTTAAATACTCTATCTTATCCACACAGCATATGAGATATTTTTCAAAAATAAAAAATTCCAACCCCAAACATTTGAATTAAGTTAATAAAATGGGGAAAATGACTGGAAAAAATTATATCACTTTATATTATTCCTGTTCTTCAGTCTTGTTATTTTTATTTAACTTTTTATAGCCTGTCTGAGGATCGCTGCATTCTGTTCCATTCTTTTTTAATGTTTTTGAACACACAATCATCTAGATTTGAGATGTATTCAATTTAAGCTAAGGCAGGACAGAGGAGCACGTACCCAGCAGAGCCTGGATGTCTTCAGAGCGCTGGGCTTCTCCACATGTGCAGCACCTCAGAACGATCACCCCACCCAGAACACAGTCTTCGCCAGCCAGGAACGGCGAACCTTAAACACAAACAAGCCAAATGCACTTCAACCATGACCCTCTTTCTACTACAATCAGTCTATTTAGATGTGAAGTAGAAATTAAAGCATGTTGGAGGCATCTAAGAAAATCCAGCGATTCGGTCAATGATTTATTAGTTATGCTCTGTTCTGAGAAGTTAATGAAATGAGCGGAAAAGCCATACATTTCCGTACTTTCCCATGCCAACCTAAACGACTGAAAACAATTATTCTTTCCAAAGGTTTTGTTTTATTAACCAAATGAGAAAAATTGGGAGCAGAGCTACTTTTCACTCCTTAATAGGTTAATGATGGAATTAGTTATTTCTTGTAACCCCTCGCGGAGTCCTGATAAAGAGACTCTGTTGAGAAAGCATGAAAATGCTCATACTTTTCCAAAGAGGAAAAAAACTAAAGATTTTGAGCTGCAAAACGGGCTTCAAACCCATTCAAATGATTGCATCTCAAAACTGGCTGCAGCATAGGTTTGAAGCACTCAAGCATAACATCAGTCCACAGGAGGGAAGAGAAATTTCACCTCAGATAGGGGCTCGATTTCATTAAAGCCATACTGATTTTGAATATCATGTTGTGTTCAGCTTGTTTACACAGAACACAGCTCTTTTTATGACACCTCTCAATTAAAACCCTTCAATGAAAACCTGGACGACCTTCACACAGAACATGGTCTTAGCACCACACTTTAAAAGACACCTTAAAACTGATCTTTATCAAGTATTCCATTAAAAAGCCTTTTATTCTTTTCTTCTGTTTCATCTAAGCATCCCCACAGTGTAATCAAATTTATTACACAGCTTTCAGGAACACTTGATTCTGATTGGTCAGTCACAGCATCCTGCAGTCAAATAGTGTAATAGTATAAACTAGTGTTGTAGTCAAGACTACTTAAACCGAGACCAAGTTGAGACCAAGACCAGAGAGTGTTGAGACCAAGACAAGACCAAGAGTTTTAGAGGTTTTGACCGAGTCAAGACCAAGACCAAACAAGCACTTCTCAAATTCGTCTGAAAGATCCACATTTTCTGCCCAAGAATTGTCTGATATTTAATCAATAAATATAACTTGAATATTAAGACACTTTATAGAGCGGTTACCAATCAAATGAGATCACTAACAATAAAATGCATCTTTGCACTGCAGAAGTGGCACAGAAGTTTCATTTGAATTGGTATAATTACAGCTGCATAAATATGGTTGAGACTAATGTTTTAAAAATACATTTTTGGAATTATAGAGATATGATGGAAAAATAAAATGATTTTTTTGTGGCTAGGTGGCTGCAAATCACTTAATGAGCGAGTCACTGAATCTTTCGTTCAAAGCAGCTGATTCATTCAGTAACGAATTCAGTTGCCCGGAAATGCACAACAGTTCTGCTATGGGTTTGTTTGGAACTGTTTTCGCTGGCGAAATAACAAAAACTTGTGTTTAAAATTGTGTCTAAAATGTATTTGACTTAATATTAACTTGTTTGTTGAACGTTTGCATAAAATCAACATTATGTTTGCAATTGTGCTCATATTCATGAAAACAGCTCTCTTGCTCTTGTGATATTGCTCAATTACATGTCAATTATATTATATAATATAAAAATAAGATCTCATACAAGTACTTTTTTGCAATCATATCTTAAAATTTTGGGGTATTTGTATTAATTTGGGTGAAATTTTTGACAATTCCCTATTAAATTCTGACCGGGCACAGCAGTATCAAATGAAGTTATTTATTGCATTTGAAGCAGTACAAATGCGTTCGAGACCGAGACGAGACCTTCAAAAAATGGTCTTTAAGACCAGTTTTGAGACCAAGACCTGTCTTAAGTACTACAACACTAGTATAAACATGGTGGCACTCCACAGTCTCTTTCTTCTCACATAATAAAATAATTTCAAATTAGATCGATATTTCAGGTCCACTTATTTAATTATCAGGTAAAAAAAAAGTGATAACCAAACCAGACGTAATGCGAAGGTGCAATGCAACAAGGCAACATGCAATAAAAGGTTTGTTTTGGATATTTATGTAGATTGACGCATCTCCTGCAGTTGTGCCCAAAAAAAAAAAAAAAAAAACCTTTTTGCATAATCTGATTTATTAGTCCAAAATCACTAAGATGTTTCACTGTTTGTATAACTCTGCTTGTCTGTGTTCATGGTGTTTCATAAAATGTTGTTTTCATACTGAACCTCAATTGACATGTATTAGCATATTAAATTGCAAGTGCCGTTTCTTCATTTGCATGCTAAATTGTGATTGATCTTCCAATCGCAATGTGAAAGTCTCTACTGTCACTTTTGATCAATTTAAAGCATCATTGATGAATAAAAGTATTAAGTTTCTTTAAAAAAAAAAAGTCTTACTGACTCCAAACTTTTGAATGGTAGTGTGTAAATTCATATAGCATATATATTAAATTGGATTAGTCAGAATGATGAAAACCAAGTCGAGTTTATGAATATGCTTGAACAATTAATTAAAACAAACCACTCTTAAGAGTCATTTGTTCATTTTAAACAAACCTATTCCTATAAGATTGGCTTTGATATGCTAAACTGAGTTCTTCAAGAGCAAACAATCTAACTTTTGAGAGGTTTGACAGGTCAGGTGTACCCACAGGAACTAAGTTAAAAGAAAATGTATAAAAACCGTTAATCTCACTGTCAAAACACAGAAGACTTTCACAGTCATTTGCTTTTCAGCAGCCAGTTTTCAAAAGGGAGGGGAGTGTAAAGAAATGCCTTTAACACAAAATGTCTGGCAGCCGTTCAAGCCTAAGAAACCATAAAGCCTAAAGAAAATAGCCGTGTTGTTTCTGTAAACACAAACGTGGGCCTCGTAAAATATCAGGTAACTACAACAAAACTCTGTGCGAGTTTGTTGCCATGACAATTAGATGCTAATTTCTTTTCTTTTTTGTTGTTTTAACAAAAGAACGAACGAACGACTGGCTCCACCGTTGGCTCACTATTTTCAAGTTACCGTAAACCCTCTCGTTCTCTCTCAAGAAATGGATGTTACTGGCAACAATACCACAAGTTAACAATTAATTTAACAAGCAAACAGTGCCATGATAGTGCAAACTCAATTTCCAGTGGAAAGTAAATAAAACACAGCAAACCAGAGATGACAAGAAACGGACAAATGTAGCAAAAGGAATCAACCCTAAGCGAAACCACAGCGAGCGCTGCAGAGACTAACAGGGTTGACCTGAGAGAAAGCGAGCTCTTTGTGTCAGTTTGAAGCCAGAGTGATTGTTTTTCTCCTCCTTTTGATAGGAACGCCTTTTAAGTTGGGAAATGAAAAGCAGGTGCACCGCTGGAGCGCACACTTGAGCGGCTTGTCCTCACTGCCATGCGTTTTCAATTTTGAGAAGGATGAAAGAGAAATGCATGCTGAAATGGCCATGGGGGGAGAAGGTGATAAAATGTGTGATTCTGCTTTTGTTTTTGGAATGGCGGACGATCAAAAACAAAAAGGCACAAAACACAATGTGAGTTTCGTGCCTATTGCACGAGTTTGTGTGATTATAAAGTAAAAATGTTAACAGGGAGCACACATGTAAAACAGCGCTCAAGAAACCTGTCAGGAAAATGTCTGGGTAATATTCCTCAATAAAAAATGAGAAACTGTATATTGCATAAAGGGGAAAAAAGCTTATTTTAGGGCCATTTAAGACCAGATCTCAGATCATCCAAAAGTTTGACAGGACAGGTGTCCCCACGGGAACTAAGTAAAAAGAAAATGTATAAAAATAGTTAATCACATTTAAAACTGCGCTTGTAATATTTCAGACCTGTTGAATCAAGCAATAGGGCATATCTCAAAAAATCTGTCAAGAAATGTCTGGGTAATATTTACCATCAATGAAATTACTGTATATATTGCATTTAAAAAGCCTGTTTTTGGACCATTTAGGATCTTAAGATTTGTTGCATAATGGTTTCATCTTCATGACAAAAAATGTGCTTCTCAATTCTTTTAAAATTAATATTAGTCTTAATCTTTATATTAAAAATATAAAAAATTTGTTTTACTTTATTACAGTGATGAGAACATTTGGATAATTGCCATTAACAATAAAGTGACTTTTCAAAGACATAAAAAAAATATGTTGTGGGTAGGGCATGCTTAATTAGCCCTAAAAATTAGTGTTATGCAAAATAAAAAATCTATACTTTTTTTTCAAGATGCCACTGTGCAATAAATAAATAAACAAATATATAAATAAATGAACAAAGAAACTAACTAAAAAAAAAAAAAACCTTTAAGGCTGCAAAGACTGACCAAAATCTCTTTAAAAAAAGAAGTGTGACCGACAACTTTTTTTTTTTTTTAAACCAGAGGAAACCTTACATGCTGCACCCCTGTGCAACATGCCAAGCTTGAATGAATCCCAGTCTCTCTTCAGTGAGCCAGGTGTGTGTTCACTGCTGGGCTCAGGCCAGGCCAAAGGTGCTTTCACACAAGGGTGCCGCAGGACAAAGGATGAAGGAAAAGAAAAGAAATATGGCCTTCATCATAGTGTAACACTCTTTGGAAGTTGTGTAAGTGATTATGGCACAGGGAAGCATATTAACAGAGGCTACAGTTTGACAATTCAAAGCCAAGCAGAGCATTTTACAAGCTGTCTGATTGTTAAAAGCAACGATGTGCCTTGTGAAATATTATAATAAAGTTACAGGTGCAGTTATGCTGAAAAGGTTCTTGTGCTATGTCGTGGTGTTTAACAAAGTAATTGCAAATTTACTGCACTGAAAAGGGGAGATGGAATAAATTAAACGTTTAATACATGTTACATCAAAGTAATGCACAATACACTCACCATGGCCATATCAGGTATATGCACATATGATTCAATCCTCTACCTCCCCATCAAAATAAGAGACAATTAACATAACCATGGTATAATACAATAACACACATAATTATTTATAATATACAATACTGTTCAAAAGTTTGATGTCAGTAAGATTCAGCCTTGGTGAAGAAAAAAAAAAGTAAAAACACTATATGCTGTAAAATATTATTACAATATAAAACAACTTCATTCCATTTTCATATATTTTAAAATGTAATTTATTCCTATTATAGCAAAGCTGAAATCTTCCAGTCTTCAGTGTCACATGATGCTTCAAAAATCATTCTAATATGGCATTTTGGTGCTCAAGAAACATTTCTTCTTATTTTTTATTTATTTTTATTTTATGAAAGGGGTCATATGATGCGATTTAAATTTTTCCTTTCTCTTTGAAGTGTTACAAGCTCTTGGTGCATAAAGAAGATCTGTAAAGTTGCAAAGACTAAAGTCTCAAATCCAAAGAGATATTCTTTATAAAAGTTAAGAGTCAACCACGCCTACCTAAAACGGCTCGTTCTAACATGCCCCCACATATCTACGTCACGATGTGGGAAGATTTGCATAACGCCGGCCAAATGTTCACGCAAAGAAAGAAGGCGTAACTTTTATTCTCGCTGTAGTATTGTTGTTGCCGCCGCCACCATGTTGTGAAGGCGCTGTGTGTTTCATTGTGAAAGCGAAACTACTTTGTCTGGTATCCGCTTCGTCATGCCTGGAGCTGATCCGTGCTGGTCGCTGAGGAAATACATCAACTTCGCGCTGTGGATCGCCGGATCGGTTTCACCGTGGACGAAGCGGAGTCCAGCCCATGGTCGTCACATGTGGTTGCCGCAAGCCCGCCCACTGCCGCTCACTCAAGCCGCTCACTCAAGCCGAAATAAGTACGTTTTTTATATTTAAAGAATTTGCCACTGACGATTCAAACGCGAGTTTTGAGCAGTGTAGAGTAGCGTTTGTAGTTTGTAATTTCTCCGATCACAAATGCAGACATGGTTTTATGTTTACGAGGCGCGATGCAATGCAACGCGTAAAAAGACCTTATAAGTCATTATAATCCGTAATTATGTCGGTAACTATTTTTAATGCAAATATGACATTATTTGACCTAACCCTAACCTAACCCTACCCCTACCCTTACCCCTAACCATAGCCCATAACAAAGACATCTCAAACAATGTAATCTTTGCATTAAAAATTACATAACTGAGCGAATGACACTTAATGACAGTTGTCATAAACATGCATAAAAAACCTTCATATTCATGACATGTCATGTCATGATTATGTAGGTGTCATGTCATGATTATGAAGGTATCATGTTAGTCTTATGCACACCCCTTCAAGTAAAGTGTAACCAATTACTTTAATAAAGTAATTGAAAAAGTTACACTACTATTACATTCTAAATAGGGTAACTTGTAATCTGTAACCTATTACATTTCCAAAGTAACCTTCCCAAC